AAAGAAAGAAAGAAAGAAAGAAAAGAAAAGAAAAGAAAGAAAGAAAAGGAAAGGAAAGGAAAGGAAAAGACAAGAGAAAGAAAGAAAGAAAAAGAAAGAAAGAAAGAAAGAAAGAAAGAAAGAAAGAAAGAAAGAAAGAAAGAAAGAAAGAAAGAAAAGGAAAGGAAAAGAAAAGAAAAAGAAAGAAAGAAAAACAGCACTAAAGATGTAGAGGAGAAGAGAGTCATCACAACTTGACTGTAACCTTGTCTCACTGTCCACCTACCTATTAAAATTCATGGAAGAGATACATTGGTTTTTGGTTTGGTTTTAAATTCAGTGCTCCCAAGCACCACCTCTAGGACACAGTTAGTGTTCAACAGGTCTTTGAAATAATGAAGACATTTGAATGCCAGATGTGAGAGTTATTTAGGAGATGAAATCAAGACTACACTCAAGTAACTGGATATAGGATAGAAGCCAAAATTATGAAAATAAATCAATTAGTCTCGTCAGGGTTTTGGAGTACCTTCAGAAAAAAACATATAAGTAAATACACCACCACCATACGTGCTAGCTGGAAGTTAACGTATCTTTTTCAAATTTTCAGTAAACCAAAGAACCATCCAGATATTGATTCTTCCCCTGTTATTCTGTATGGAAAAATTAATAAAATTAAAGTCCACATTTGATAAAAAGTTCTATAATTCTATCCAAATGCCTAATTGTAAAAGGGCTTTTTGTTTCTATATCTTGAACCACCAGCCCTTGTTCCCTGCTTTAAAAACAGGAAAGGAGCGTGTTTGGTTCTGAGGACTATTCCATTTGAACCCGGTGTTGCTCATGGACGCGGAGTGCGCGGTTACCTAGGCCTCCCGCGTGGGCATCAATAAGGGAAGCTGCTACGGCAATTCCAGCAGGAAGGCCAAGGTCCTTCGCTGCCTCTGGTGTGAGCCCATGTCCAAGAGAGGCTCCAGGAGGCAGCACTTGGTTTCCTGGGTAGACAGGAGGAAAAACAAACACCTGTCAGTTTGAAAAACACAAAAGCAAACACAGGGTTTTCTTAAGAGAACCTCTCCGCTCCCTCCCCTCTCTTCTGCCTTTTGTCAACATCATGAAGATAAAAACCATGCACCCACCAACAGTCCTTTTGCTCATTTGGTGACTTAGGTGCATGTCCTTGGTTCCTATGGGTCACGCTCTGCGGTCCTTTACAAAATCAAGAGCTCTAAGGCACCTTTCAAATTGGAGAAAGATTCCATTCACGGGAAATTCCAAAAGATATAAACACAGTGGCCTCTTCAAGACGAGGTTAAAATGGTTAAACTGTTCCTAACGCGGCAGCAGCTCTACCAGCATACCTTACACACACACATATGCGCCCACACCCGGTCCCTGATTAATATATATTCCTAAGGAAGTTGAGAACATTTACTTGTGTAGTTGCTTCCTGTCAGAGGATAAGGGAGGGGATTATTTTGTTCCAATATAAAATGTCTTGAAAGTTTTTCTCCGTTGGAAGAGAACCCAGTCTAAATCTTGCAAACTTTTACAAGGCTGCTGCTTGCACAACCACAGAAAACAATCTGAATGGTGTTCTTTGGAGTTGTGCAATGCTGCGACCCTGATATTTCAAGTGACCTTGAATTCCTGCAGTCAGTCAGGCCTTCAGTTAAGAATTTATTGATTGTCTTGCTTTGTGTGGGCGCTGTGGTGCTGTAAAAGGCAGTCCTTGCACCCAACCTAGTTAGGGAGATGAGATCAGGACACAGAGAGCCACGAAAATCAGAATACAATGAAGAAATCCATCTGTTCTCAGGTGTTTAGCAGAGGCTGAGTCCTTCCCTTCCCCCTGCCAAGAAATATATAATAAGTATTTCTACATTGCAAGGGGGGGGTGGACCCACATATATGCTCAGACCCTTCTGAGCTCCAAGATTCTAAGATTCTGAATGTGCGGTCAGCAGTTTGCTCAGCACTTCTGGAGGTGGAGGGGAGGGTGGGGGTTGAGGGAAGCAGAAGGTGAGTGGCTCACCGACCTCCTCTAACTAGAAACAAAAAAACCCCTCCACGACACCATTTTTATCCATTTTAGATAATGAGCTTCTTCTATAATTGAATTTGAAAAAAGTCTAGCTAAGAAAAGCAAGCAGAAGACTGAAACCCCTGCAATGTGCTCTGGAGCTTCACCATCCAATATGGTAGCCACTCGGCACGTGCAGACAGAGCACTTGAAATGTGGCTGGAATAATGCAAGAACCTAAATTTTCCACTTAATTTCATTTTAATTCATTTCAATTTAAAAACTGATACTCAATTCAGTTACTGTAAAACTTTTAAGTACGTTTGAAACCACTTTGGGTGCGCAAATCTACATTTTCAATGTTAATTGAGGAAATCTACATCAAAAACTAATGATGTACTGTATGGTGACTAACATAATAAAAAAAGAAATCTAAATATTTACAATGAAAATTTAGTGTCTAAACTGGGGTGTACTAAGTGGCAAATATGCAATAGCTGTCAAAGACTTTATACGAAAAAGTATGGCCAAAAATGAATGTAAAATATCTCATTAATAACTTTTACATCAAATATACGCTGAGATGATGTTTTGGATGTTTTAAGTTATATAAGATACACTGACATTAATTTCACCTATTGCTTTTTCCTTTAATGTGGCTTCTGGAAAGTTTTAAATTATGTATGTGGCTCATATTCCATAGGATAGCCCTGGTCTAGAAGATAAAGTCAAGATGCTCCTATGATGGGCTGGAAAGCAAGGAGAACTTCTCACCTATTCTGAATGCCCAAGCCAGCAGAAACCTGAAGGAGAGCAGTGCCCTTCGCTGGAGACAATCTGTCTCCAGAGACATACGATCTCAAGTATGGCACTACGTCTAGTATCCAGCACGTAAGAGATAGCATTTATCTTTACTGAGCACTTCTGTGCGAGGGACTGTGCTAAGGGCATATGATGCATTTTCTCAGTTGGTTGTCATAACCCCGTGTGAAGGATACTCTAGTGTCCCCATGGCACAGACGGATGGGGAAGGTCAGTTTATACAGGGAAAGTAAATACCCCACAAGTGTTGGAGTACAGGCCATGGATTCCACTGTGATGGACACAGACCTGTGCTCTTATTCATTAAATTACATACGAGTATATCTATTTTAAAAAAATTGTAAGTGAATGAAGAAAACAAGTGAAGTACTTTTCCTTTTTTTAAAGATTTTATTTACTTATTTAGAGAGCGCAGCCACATGTGGGTGGGGGAATGGGCAGGGGGGGAGAGGGAGAGAGAAAGAGAGAGAGAGAGAGAGAGAGAGAGAGAAAATCTCCAGCAGACTCCCCATGGGCGGGGCTCGATCCCATGACCCCGAGATCAGGACCCCAGCCAAAATCAAAAGCCTGGATGCTCAACCAACTGAACCACCCAGATGCCCCCAAAGAAGTACTTTTAGAACAAACACTATGCTATGTTTAAAACGGTAGCACCGTTTGGAAATCATGCTCCCTACCTTCAGATTTTTCTTAAAGGGTTAATTTTTATAGGAAGGTAAAAATGTTTCACCTTCATCCCCGAGCTTCACAAACAGAAGGGGTATAATCTTCCTTAACAAAAGATTCCAGACAGGAGGATGAGCAAGATGGGGCACTCTGGGGTGCCTTCTGGGCAGCAGTTGAGACGGGCTTCTGAAGGACTGCAGGTAGATTTCCCAGCACAGGCAGCATCTGGAGCAAAAGCCAAGAAACACGGGAGACGGCCAAAGGGGCTGCGCAAGGAGGAAGAGGAGCTGGGGGTGGAAGGGGCAGATAAGGCTGGAGATGGAAGGGGGACAAGGCACGCACGGCTATCCTGGCGGAGGCGTCCAAACTCCATCATGAAGCTCACTGAGAGCCTCTGGAGAAGCATTACAGCCAGGGTGCGAGGTGGCTGCGTCTGCACTTTTCCAGATTTCTCTGGGAGCACTTGCAGCAGAAGACATCGAGGCTTAGGGAGAACACTTGTGAAGCGATTTTGGTAAGAGAAAAGAGGAGGACCTCCCTCAAGGAATGGGCAAGGGAGATGCAGAAGCAGGCAACGGGGGAGGTTTTGTGAAGCAGGCAGTGAGAGGCCATGGCGGTCACCTGGATACAGGGAGTATGGGAGCTATGGAGACGCCACCGCCTGCATCCCTGTTAAGGACAGCCTGGAGGCCCAGGAAGGGGGGTCAAATCAGCAGACAGCTGCTAGCTGCCAGCACCTTTGGGCCACTGTACCAAGGTGGCCCCTGTCCCCGGGCAGCCCCACCTGATGACTCAGCGTACTGGGAGCAGAAGGACTCTGAGGGATGCCACTTCACTCCAGAGCACTCCTCTGGGCTGGCCAAGGGAGGCGGGGCCGGATTACAGCTCTAATCCTTGCTCTGCCCAATCCTCCTCTCTCCCTCTTCCTACCACAGATGGCAACCCCTAATAATTACCTTTTAGTACCCCCAAATCTGTCTCAGCATCTGCTGCCGGAGAACCCAACTTAGGGCGGTCAGCCAGGCCTTCTCCACAGGCCAGTGGCCCCGGAATGAAAATAAACATGCACAAAGATTCACATCCTCCTTTGAAGTGGAACCACACCTTTCAGGAATAGTCTATCCGGGCCAAAAGCAGGAAGAAGCTTTGTTTATTTCAAGACCAAACAGAAACGGCTTGGCATAAGAGAAGGTGCTCGAAAAGGTAGGAATCGCTGAGAAATCACCCCATCAGATCATGCTTTAAGTTTATTAGCCAGGGGTGCATCTGAGGGACTACAGGAGCTGTCAGAAACAAGCTTTAGTGCGCCTTGACAACTGTTCTGGAATTAATCCTCCTTTCGGCTCTTCCTTGACCATAAAATTAAGTTAATCACAGCATCCATTTTCCCAGACTTAATCAAGACCTCACAGCCTCAGCACTGGCTGTCTTTCCTAGCCTTTGTTCCACCACTCATCCACGCATCTTAAACATTTCAAGAACAGTGGTGGCAACACTGAGGTGCTAGGGTGTAAGTGAAGGAGGCTCACACAGTGGTCTGGTCAAACCAGGGCTCTCAGCCTCTCATCAAGGGCTCGGCAGGTGGAATGTATGTGGTATTCCCAGCGCACAGAGGAGGGACAGTGAGTTGGCCCAGGAGAGTGCAGGAAATCCAGATGAAGGTGACATCTGAGCCCAGTCTGGTAAGATAGGTGGCGGATAGCTGGTTTCAGAGCTAGAATGCTCAGGGGAGATGGATGCCATTAGAACAAAAAGCGGTTCACTGCTGGGAGCCCCAAGGGGCACAGAGTGTTTGAGGCATTCAGTATGTTGGCAAAAGGGGCACCAGGGAGGAGCAGAGAAGTGTGGGCCTCCAGCAGGGCAAGGAGCCCCAACTAAGGCAATGAGGCCCTGCCAGCCAACAGCTTTGAGTACTAAGATTTGTTTTTTAAGAAGATAAACCTGCAGTGGAGAAAGGCTAGAATAGGAAACAGTTTTTATCTGTAAAACTATCAAGCCAACTGAAATGCAAGCTGCAAAACATTATGCCTAGTATGACTTCATTTTAAGAACAACAACAAAGGGCACCTGGGTGGCTCAGATGGTTAAGCGTCTGCCTTCGGCTCAGGTCATGATCCCAGGGTCCTGGGATTGAGTCCCGCTTCAGGCTCCCTGCTCAGCATGAAGCCTGCTTCTCCCTCTCCCACTCCCCCTGCTTGTGTTTCCTCTCTCGCTGTGTCTCTCTCTGTCAAATAAATAAAATCTTAAAAAAAAAAAAAAGAACAACAACAAAGAGGGTAGATGGGCTATTTGTAAAAATACATTCCTGGGGGAAAAAGAAAAGAAAACTTTGTTTCTGGATGAAAAAATTATTACTATTTTTTTTCTTTTTACCAACCTATACTTTCTAAAACTCTTCTACACATTTCTCGTGTAAATTTTTTAAAGGTGTTTCCCCCATAAATCAGGGTAAACAAATTAGGGCACATGTATCCAGAAACATCC